GGCTGGGGCTGCGGGGCTGCCCGGCCGGCAGAGCCCAGCACGGGGCTCCGGGCACGGGAGAGCCCGCTCGGGCGGCAGCCGGGGGGGGGGGACACCCAGGAAGGGGCTGGATCCCGAGGGGGGAGACGCCGAAGCAGCGATGCCTTCCGGGCTTCCCCGCACCCAACCGCTCTGTGTGGTGCCAACCCCAAAACTCGGGTGTGCGCGTTGCTGGATGCGGTTCTTCGGGCTTTGAAACCTCCCGGAACCATCCCGTCCTTCAGGTGGTGGCTCGCAGGAGAACACCAGCCCCTTGCTTTGCACCCTCATCAGTTCATAAATACAGCACGTAACTCATACCCTCGCCGTCCTGCCGTGTGCCTCGTCACCGCAGGTTGTATGGAATCCATACGTTGCAACTGTGAGGCTGGAGATCTAATTGATGGTATGTGATACTTGCTTGTAAAAATGGTCACAGCAAGGTTCCCCGGAGTTAAAATTGCCTCCAAGCCTCAAGGCATCCCCGTGCTGGGGCTTGTCATTTAATGCTGCTAAGTGCTTAGCATTTATTAAGCAATTTTAAATTGTTTATGTTAAGGGCACAGATTCAGGCCTTTTGTGTTTCATCAGGATAAAATTATGAATTTTGTTTTTTCCATGCCTACACATACCTGAAGGTTTCAGGCCTTTTTAAGAAGAGGCAGCTATTAATAATATTTTGTAAAGCTAGGCAATGTGCTCACTGAGTGCAAACCCGAGAACAAAGCCTGAGGGAAGGCAAGAAATCTATGCTAACAATAATAACAATACATGCAAAACATCAGAGAGGACCCACATAAAAACAAAAAGGAAATCAAAAGCAGAGTTCTTCCTCTTTCGGTGTCATTTGTATTAAATGCCCCAGAGGGTTTTTTAGTTATAAACTGCAAAAGCAAAATGCTGTATTCCTGTAATGGCTATTGTTTGGGGAAAAACCACCAGGACCAAATTAGCATTTGTGATACTATTTATAATGAGGAAGATTTAGGTCAGATGGGGTCTTAACCAGAGCCCTGGGAGCTGGACTTAAAGGTGTGCAATTTGCTTGGCCTGCTACTGTCTAAGCATGGATGGGTGGAACTGGAAAACTACCACAAGCCAGCTCCAGAGCTGGGAGAAGCAAGGGCATATATTTTTATTTACAGGATACAGATCAGATAATAACTGAATTAAGAAGAAAAGGAAGAAGAAAAGAAGCCTTTTCCCCTGCTCACACATGTTTGTCTGCCTGGAACACTTCACTGCTTCCTTACAGGCATCCATGAAACCTGATGCCAGGAACAGGCTCCTCTCCCGCTGTGTTGCTGGGAGTATCTGACTTCCCAGGGCCACAGGGAGGTGGAGGAGACAAGGAAAAAGTCTCTTGCTAAAATTCAGGATAAAAATAGCATCTCAAAGAAAATGACCATTGTTGGGACACAAGGGCAAGATCCTGTCTTTTGAGAGTCTGCCCTGGTCAGCCCAGATATATGATTCCCCTGATACCCTGCTGACCTCCCTGTAGCTAAAATTGGAGGCAGCAGAACTCTGGTCCAACCTACACTGTCTGCCAGACCCGGAGTTTCACCACTGCAGAGCAGTGGAGAATCAACTGACCCTCCTTCCCTTCTCCCCAGCTTCTCTGAGCCCCCAGGAATTTGAGCACATTTCTTCTCATCTCATGATAACTTCATAAAAATGAAAGAGAAGCAACTGCTGCCTGGTTACCTTATTATTTTGTGGAGTTTAAGGCATGAATGAAAAGCCACCTGAGGAAACTGGATTGAGTCTGAAGAATTCACCTAGCTGATATCCAAACAAAATACAGGGCTTTAGCAGAGCAATTCTTGCACATTAAGCTCCCTGTAAGAAATCAAAGGGATGTCTGAGCATGTGCTATTTATGAGACTGCAACATCTTCTCTTTTCTCAGTGGAGTGAAGTATGTTTTGGAAATACAGTTTAATCTAAATCAAATTCTTAAAAAAATATACAAATATATACAGTCGGTGAATCTTTACACTAACTCAACACTTGCCTGAGCCTTGTCGGGAAAGTTATTTGGCTTATTAAAGGCTTAGTTTAAGCATCTCCTTTGGCTCCCAAGGAGTGTGTGTGTGTGTATATATATGTATATATGTATGTATATAAAGGATTGCACCCTCAAATAAAGCAAATTTATTGGAATGACAGAGAAGACACATAGCATGAAAAGTTGTTAACACAGCAAGGTGCAAGAACAGGCTAGAGAGAAGAGAAGGGAGAGAGTAGGATGGATGGCATGAAATTCTGACCATGGGTAAGAGAATGAGATGGGATTTTCTTTGTCATTAGTCTTTAATTCATAAAATGAATTTTTAATGGATCTCACCCTGTTGGCAGGCAAAGGCAAACAGGCTTTCTGAGCTGCTTCTCTGCTGGTTGATGACACCACACTCTCAAATTGCAAAGGAGTATTTTTGTTTGAGAAGTGGACTTGATGGGATGTGGGTGCTAAACCACTTGGGATCCTGCTCACCAGAGCCACAAGGAGAACTTTTGCTGACAAGAAGGAGGAAAAAAATAACAGAGAAGGAGGACACAATAATAAAATATCCCAGAAGTATGTGGTTGTGGAAGAATCTGCTTCAGCAGAAAAATGCTGGAGTTACAGTAGCCAGGGAGCAGCTGGAGAGAGCAACAGATAGTACGAGCAGGAGAGCACATGGGAAACAAACAACAGGAGATGAAGCATGAAGAAACAATCAAAATCCAGTGACAAGCAAAGAAGCCAATGTCACTAAAGCTGACAGTTTGGAGTAATTCTTTTTTATTTGCCCTTCTCTTTGGCTATTTTTTGTTTATCCCTAGCCAGAGTCCAGGCATTCAGCTGTACTTATGTGTGCAATCTGCCTTGGCTTGCCTGTTGCTATTCCTGAACAAGACATGTACAGGGATGAGACAGGAGTGGGGGTTGGGATAAACTGCTTTAGTTTTCCTGTAAAGTAGATACTTTAATGCCTTGCAGGCAAAAAACAAACTTGGTGTCTGGCAGACTGGATTGAGGAAGAAAATGTTAAAAGACAAGAGTGTATGGATC